CCTCCTCCTCCTCCTCCTCCTCCTCCTCCTCCTCTTCTTCTTCGTCTTCTTCTTTCCCTCCTTCTCCTCCTCCTCTTCCCTCTTCTTCGTTCCCACCACTCTATTATCTACCAAAAGCGGCATACGTTAGACGTAAAAGTTTCATTCTCAATCTCACGATCCGCTCTCGCAGTCGTGTGGATGTTGAAGAACGGATGAGCAGGCGAGGAGGCGAAGAGAATATGGGCGAATGGGCGGCGGAAGGGTATGCGGGAATCGAGCACGGAACTCTGTGCGCAAACACGACGATTGTATTACATCGAACGTTCCATTTCAACGAGCCATCAGGCATGCATACAAAATCCTTTTAACTTTATACAGCGCACGTTCTTTTTTGATCGCGACGATCGTTTCCACAAAGTTTTACCGGGGTCAGCGGTTTTTCGTGTATAATTGCTGATTATCGATAAAATTTGACGATAATCCAAAGATACAAGAATGGATAGCATCGGATGGCCTGGAAATGCATTCTTTAATACGTATGTTCATTCCGCGATAATTTGCGCGCGCAAATAAGTGTTCCGGATAATTCATATAATCATGAATTGACGAACAAATTGAATTTTATGGCGAAGGCAATTTCATCACACCAGCGCACTCGTATCATTGGTTAATCGACATTTCCGGCGGTCGATTTACATACGGGGAACCTAGAATTCATTACAGTAGCATATTCAAATAGGAACGTAGTTAACATACTCCACCTCATAAAATATTAAGTTCGCATGATTAATATTCCTAGTTTGCTACTGTCATAGTTACATGCCATTGCATTTTAAGCTCTGAATCATTTATTACACAACACATATTAAACGGCTACCATTTATCTTCTAATTTTCGGAAACTTAATGTTTAATATACAGAGAAATTTCCTCCGTTATGCGATAGGATTGTAATATGAGACAGTAAGTTTTCAACGTCCAGATTCAGTCGCAAATCTTTTATCGTAACGACTACACGATCTAACAATCAAGTTTTTCACCGAGTAGAATTTACTCCGAGGGCAATAAATTCATGGTGGAACGATGCCAATTAATTTAGCAGAAACTCCGCTGTCTCATATTAGGAGCCTATCTCATAATACGGGACTTGCCTCTATTAGTTTCACTTTTCTCTAGGAAACTGTTACTTTAAACGTATGCTGAAAATATTATTACGTTGATTGTGATGGCACTTTTACAATTTACCGTAACAATTATTTACATTATTATTGAAGTGGTTGAGGACGAGGATTAAAAAGCACGGATAGAATTTACGTATATATGAAAAACAATACGAATGTTTAATTAAAATGTATCGCAAGCTGCTCAGTTACGTCGGGCGACATTTGGCGCCAGATTGTGTGCAAGAATTTGTTAATTCGGCTCGGTTGGCAAGAATTCGTTAATTGGAATGTCCCAGCTTGCTAATAGAATTAGATTGAGGGGGGGGGGGTCCTGCGTTCCTTCCGGTGGAACAAAGATGCGCCTCTTATTACGGAGCAGCATCTGGCATGGTCATTTATTGCGTTTTTGCTCGGCGATATTGCAACTGATAGGAATTTAAATTCCAAAGCGTCAGATTTCGCGCGGAGTGATTAAAGAAATACTCACTTTTACCATGTCTGTTTTTCCATCGATCATTTTATATGCGGGATTAATTAATTTCGTAACTCCCGGTTTGCTGCTGCTAAAGATTAAAACTTGAAATGTTAACGTGAAACTGAATAATAAAGTAACGTGAAATTATGGGCTACAAAGTGAAGTTTGATTAACTCAGATATGCAAGACAATTTCGAATCATTGCATTCGTAATAAATAGGTATCGCGTCACAGTATTGTAGAATAATATTTCCGTGTTCTTGCTTGCAGATTGGAGTGAATTGGCATTCTACAGAGATGCAGCCATCGCACCTAATGACGAGGTGAGTGACGATCTTCGCATGTATGCGTTGAATAAATCATACAATTAGATACGGAATGTCTAGTCGGTCGGTTTATAAACAGCATATCTATCCGAAAGGGGAGCCATTGGTAATTGATATTTTCGCGGAACATGTCGCCGTGCAAACAGCTTTAATGAGTAATCGGTCGGACGAATCGATGCACCGTCGGTGTTATTAGAACGGAATGCGACATATCGATCCCTGAATGTACGCTCGAATCCGTGCATTTCCGTTCGGTCTGCGAATTCTCGTGGCGTGCCTTCGACATGTGGAGCGTGAAGATGCCAGCGGCATCACGCAAGCACGCGGTCTCTAGCGATCGAAATTAGCTGACCATCATGTTTAGACCGGCTAAACGTCTTATGAGATATTTGGCTGTGCATACTTTTCATCCTACGCGTCGTCTGTGTACGTTGTAATTTTCACATGGTACATTGGAAATAAGAGGAAGAAATGCAATCCATAGTAGCGTCGCAATAAACCTATATATGCAGTTTTAGCGTTAAATGAGTTAAGGGCCAAATTTCGATTACTCTCAACCAGTGCATTTCCGAGGCAAAAATCTAAGTCACGTGAGTCATCATTAAATACGACATATGTTCAATTTCTTTGTTGTTTTCCGTTTGCAAATGCTCCGCGTCATATTCTTAATTAATGCTCCAAATTATGATTGGCTCATGAGTTGCTGTCAAACGTCAACGTGCACCAAAGTCATATTTCTTGAAAAAGCAGCTCTTGCTGCACTTGCCCTTTTTAATATATTTAAATGCTTCAAGTATATACTATTCTTATCTTTTGAGCATTTTTATAACACAGATTTTCGCCTCGGGCTATCACTAAAAACAATTATAAGTATAGCACTGATATTCGCTATTTTCACTGATAATCCACTGATTGGTTTGTAGAGATTTAAATTCTAAGAACTATTATTCGTGCTATTTTATTCGGTTAATACTTAGTCAGAATAGATTTTACGTTCGAAAATAAATGTGGGTACATGCAAGCTAATAGTTGTACAATAATAAACCAATATCCGGTGCAGTTATTCGAAACATGGAAATATTTGTAAACAGTAAACATTGGCAAACTAATAGAATTACCACAATTACAATTAATTGAGTATGCTAGACTCTTCGACAAACATTCAACGCTTTTTCAGTTGTCAAGATCTTGCATCGTTTTAACAAAATATTAATTTACGATCCGATATTACGGCACAACGTATTACGGTTCGATGAGACTAAGCGTAAAAAAAGTACAATTTTTCTTTTCTATCTCTTTCTTTGTTTCGTACTACCTTCTCGGCTATTCTGAAATGTGAAAGTTCTTCTTTTTCTAACTGAAGAATGCATTTATACAATTTTATATTAGCACAAATCGATGCGGGATGCAAAGTTCCTTAATTAATGAGAATTGATCCCAGTATAGCGCACGTTTCAGTAACAATTACATTGTGAGATACTTTTTGCCGAATCTATTCCATATCGATAATCGTGATTATTCCTTGAATTATATATGTTTGATTAACTGAAGATGGCGATCACTTTAAATATGAATATATTTTATTTAATTTTGAGTAAGATAACCGTACGATTGAAATAGATTTTTGAATATTGTATCTTTCACATACTAAGATTTAATGCTCTTCGATTGGTACAGTTTGTTGGTTTAAAACGATAATAACTATTATAACTGTCGTTGCAGTATTGAATTTGCAATTTCAGAATAGCCTGGTTTGCCGCGATTCTGTTACTGCGAAACAATTTTACCATACCTTTATTTATTTGTTTATTTATTAACTTTGCAAAAAGTGTCCACTTGAACTCATCAGCAAATTTATCGAACAAATGACTCTTTTTCCCCGATAAACAGTAAATGCAAATCAATCTTTCGCGCTGTCGAAATATTCTATACACGCGTGACAAAACGGTTTTCAACCGCGCAAATGTCAATATTTGATTAATTCTTATCGCAATCTTGTATCGCACGGGATGATATAATTTATTTTTGTGTTGTAATTCACTTTTCGCGAAAACCGTGCGTTATTACGTCGCTCAAATTTTCAGACCTATACGTACTTACACGCAAAAATTAAATTTAAAAACCGACGACCGTACTGAAACTGAAACAAGTTTGTGCACACACGTGTTCCACATACATTTAACTCTAAAATGCATTTCAGTGTTTTTCGGAAGAAGTCGTAGTTAAATGGCATTCTCGCACTATGCTTATTCGCGCTTGTACTGCATCGACGCTGTTCTCGTATACGAGTTCGCGATTTAACTTCAGAGTATTTTATACCATTGGCAACTTTGCGGTAGTAATGAAGCATTTGGCATATAATCAATGCAAATGGGGAAAACACATCAAAGCAACGACATAAAACTTTTAATTTGTATAAACGAGAAAATAACGATGTGTAGAGAAGGGAAAATAAAAAGAGAGATGGGAGCATATTTATCATGGCGATGGGCACACACTGAGAGAGATGGAGAGAGAGAGAGAGAGAGATTTTTTGAATTTTATGAGAGCAACTTCAATTTTATTTGCAAATTTTTTCGGCGGCAAATAACCATCATTAAAAGTGCCCTTGCCCAAAATGCAAATTGTGACGAAAGCGACTGACATTTATTTATAATGCGTATTCTTTTAACAGATGTTGCAATAAAAGGCGCCATTTGGACTCGCCATTTAAAGCGCCGTGCCGCGAAACGAGCGATATAAATTTCCACGCGTGAGCATCCCCGAAAATAATAACGCAACGAGGGGTACGCGATGGGCGGAAGCGCGGGCGATACGGGCACGAATCGTTTCCCCGAAAGAAGAGCGGCGGATTCGGTAATTGTCGCGGATTGCCGGAAATCAGAAACAGATGCAAAGTAGGCAATTAACCGCGGGGGAGGCGGCGCGGGGAAAATTGCGCCCACGCGTGATTGACTCTCGGGCGGTAAACGATCTCTGCCTCGGTCCTTCTCGCGGGCGTTGCGCATTCAGGTAAATTGCATTTCGATCGACCCAGTTTTTATTTCAATTTGTCGTGAATTTATGTGCGAATTATCGGAGAAAGAACACGGCGGAATCGAGGCGGAGAAGGGTGGCTCCTCGTAGGGGAGGAGAAAGGGGAGAGGGAGAGAAAGGGAGAGAGAGAGAGAGAAAGAGAGCGTGACAAAAGGGAGAATCGAAAGAGGTGAAGCTGGCACGATTTACTCGCGTCGTTTCTCGGCACCCTCTCGCTAACTACGATTCAATTTGCATTTCATCCAATAAATCGCGCCTCTCGTCGCGCCTTTCCCGACACACACGGCTACGTGTTTTCCCGGAATATTCTTCATCTCTTCACCTCACGACGCGGAGCGTCGCGCGCAAACTCGCGTATGACTTCGGCTCTCCCCTGCGATAACGAGCATTCTTCTCTCGTTATCTCTCCCTTCTCTCTTTCCACCCCGAGATGTTTCGAAATGATGAAATTATTTTTCACGGGTAACTCGAAGGGCTCGTCAGCGCGCACGTTTATGATAAGAAACACGTGATTTCTTGACGCGCGCGCACGTACAAGAGCGCGCATATTTTATTTATCAGATTCGATAGGTTGTTAGATACCGCGCGTATCAGCGAAGCACCCGCTCGCGATAACGAGCATGACATGTTTACACGCAAGAAGGGGTGCGTGCTTTAATTGCTATCAACTGGAACAGATAGGCGCTAAATGAAATTTATGTTGAAGCAGTTATTCTCGCGTGAAATTGACACGATTCTCGGACGTGGATGGAAATAGATAAGAACATTCTCTGCAGAATTCTTTTGCTGGCTGGATCAGCGTACTCCTGACGTACATTACGAATGTAATATCGTGTAAGAATAAACTCGGCTAAGCTTATCGGTCGAGTATGTGCAACCGCGCGATCAAATATTACACACCGGTCTTAATAAATACAGTTGTACGATCATTTATTATGGACGCATTGACATGAACGCTATTATAAATATCGCGATATTTCGATCTCCCGTATCGTATTTTCTAGAGTACGGCAGCCTCTTAAACGGCGTACAAATAGTCGGCGCTCATTCTTCGCGTGACATGAGCATGCTAATACTTCACCGACTTTCCAGGCAATCGACCCCCGGCTCCTACCCTGCTCGCTCAACTATATCGCAATCGTAACCCTTTTCCTCCGTGCGTGCGACACGGAAGAAGATCCGCGCCGATAAAAACCGCCGTCGTGTCGAGCGCCGCAACAAATGCATCTACCGGTCGATTCGGCCCTCGTGAATTTTCTGGCCCTGTGTTTACAGCGTAACGACGTTACGTCACGGGCCCGTTTAGAGATAAATTGAGTTACGCATCTCCGTAGGGACCCACGCCCGCTGAAGGAGGCCTCGTACGAAGAATAGCTTTCCCTTGGCGAAACGAATGATAAAACCACCGCGATACAAGTTAACGAGAGAGTAAAGTTAGACTTTCTCCCGCGCGATATAACGCTAACTTTCCAAGTCAGTGCGTGAAAGACTTCTTGAGTAACGGTTACGCGGAAACAATTGATGACGTCGCTCGGCCGGCGACGCGAGATAACGTACGCGGGGGCGAAACGCGCATTAATATTTCCGGCAAACATTTTCGCCGGGCGCGGCGAGATCCCGCGTGGATTAAAATTACCGGGGCGGCCCAGAAATTTGTCATAAATCCGCCGCTGAAAGCGTATAAAGCGGCCAAGGAAGTAGTGGCGGCAGGGGGCAAAAAGTATCGCGCCCAAACGGCCACGTCCCCCCCGCGCCCGCTCTCGCAAAACCCGCGAGCGTTTCGCGGGCGAAAAGGGCGGGAGTGATGGCCGCGGTCATCGTACACGCACCGGGAATATTTCGTCGACATGCAAGCCACAATCTAGATTACCGGGGCGGGTGGTAGTGCGCCTGGGAAAATGCTGGACGCTGAAATAGGCAATTTTTCTCTTCCATCACGGCGCCGCGGCCACGCGTCGAAC